CCCGCGGGCAGGGTTTGAACTCGTTAATACCCACTTGGACAGGGAACATCACCCTAAGATTTCAGCGTTCTAGCTTCTCAGATCCCCAAGTTATGAACTTACCCGAAGAAAGTTTTGGCGGGCCCGTACGCGGGTACCACGCGGGTAATGGCGCTCATTTTGAGGATTGGAGCCGGTACGTGCATGCATATTAATTTCCCGAAATTTCAGCCCTGCAGCTTTTACAGGTTTTGAAATGAAAGTGCGTGACAGACGCACACACAGACACACGGACGCACAGACAACCCCTCGTCAACATGCGTTTTTGCATTGCATAGTTGCAAAAAACGCATAAAATTTATACATATATATCATGCTCTTGATTAAAAAAATACGTATCCGATACGTGATATATACATGTATGTATCACGTATCATGTGTGGAAAGTCCGTCTTGCCACAAAAACGATGCTACGGAACAATTGTGCATTTCGATTTCTCTCGGTTATGAACAAGCCTCACCAAGATGTATGAGCCTCCTCCACTTTGGTCTTTATCTGTTAATCAACGATTGGGGCATCCCTCTGAACACAACTAACCATCAATCCATCCATCCAGTCACCCAACTGCATTTTTCATTTTCATCTGTTTAACTGCTTAGAATTTGCTTGCTGTGTGTAAAGGCTCGCTTTTACAAAAAACATGCTCGATTCAATTTTCACGAACTGTTTTTGCTCGGCAGTTGCTCCTTTAGCTCCGCCTAAACCAGTAGGGATTTCCCCTTCCATTATCACTTGAGCGTTGTTTCAATTAATCATGCATTGGTACGTGAAATTGCCAGAAATAAGCAGCTCTAAAAAAAACACAAAAGCATGGGGTTGGAATAGCGAGAGAGGGGAACCGCCCAAGCGCTGAAGGTGTTTATAATCCGTCCTGCAAAATTCGCTCGGAGATCAAACGAGCTAAATCGTTTCCTGAGCACCCATTTTAAAATTGTGTCTCGCAAGAACAGGATTCAGCGCTCCACCAACAATGGGTGTCTATTTTTGCTGAAATTTAAGCAGGTTGTCGCGGACTGTTATAACTATGCTCGAATCCTGCTTGGCCTCTTGTTCGTTTGTTACGCTGTGAAGTTAGTTGGCTGCGCACTCACAGCATCATTTCTGCCTCCTCTGTCAACCTGAGAGAACTCGTCACGCCTTATTCCTAACGTTCGTACTACTTCTTTCTCTCTCTCTCTCTCTCTTAAACCAGTGCAGATTTGGGCCTAAAAATTGTTTGAATTGCAAGGAGCCAAGCAGGCTGAGCATTTGCGCCTTCACTTTTAACGAACTAGCGTCTGCAAGACTGCTCAGCTAATTTTCGGAAAAAAATACTTCTTTAGCTTAATCGAGCAAAATAACTATTCGCATCGCGGTTTCGTCTGTGGAATAACCGCGATTCTAAGCAATTCTTCACTCTCTGAAGTCCGATCCAACGTTGTATACCATCCGAAGAGAGATCAAAACAGTAGGGCCATATTTTCAAATTTTATGTGTTTTTGCTGTGCAGCCCTATAGCACACACAGTTGTAGCGCTGCTGCAGTGAGCACCCACTTTCATCTCAGCAACCACGAAAGCTGGGAAGCTGAAATTTGGGTTATATATTCTACTAGCGTGTCATCCTCCCGCTTTAAAATTTTTGCTCACGGACGCCTAGGCTTCGTGTACGGACTCCCGAAAAAATATGCAGATTTCTCTGGTGAAAAACGATTTCGCGAACCAGGCAGGGTACAAAGCTTGAGCTTTGCAAAGATATTTTCTGCGCATGTGCTAGCTAAAAATTTCAAATTCAGCTGTGGCGCATGCTTGTTCAGTGCGTTCACGTCAAAGTTTGTACCTGGAACTGTGCTAATTTGAAAACTAGCCGAAAAACAATGTCTGAAATTTTGTCAGCATGGTTATTGCCCATGTGGGAAATCGCCTAAAATGAGTACCGCTTTTCATTTGCGCCACGACTTGGGGCACTTCAAAGATATTTGTGGCGAAGTGAATATTTCGCTTACCGGATAAGGTGCGAGGTTGAAACTTCGCTGGAATATTCTACTTTCATGCGTGGTCTTAGTTCTGCTTGAAAGTGAAATTCCCTGCAGGATGGCATGAGAAATACTCAACTTTAGTGAAAAATCAGAAAAAAGTGCATTTTGCAGCGAACGGCTGTTCTTCTCCTCTCCAAACATGCAAATGAACTCTTTTGCACATCTGGATTTTTTGACGAACGACCGTCCTCGCAACATTTTCACTTTTCAGTGAACTGGAAATTTGCATTTTTTCGAAGGGCGAGTGTTTACGAGAAAAAAGACCTGGCTTCATGCAACAAACTGATAATCATGTACCTGGAGGCCCACGCGGATCTATACTGCAACACCTTCATCCCAACCGACGTCCTTTCTCCCGCATGCCCGAATAGGTCAAAGCACGCCTAATATGAGCCCAGGTGTTATGCTACAATGCAGGGATCATTCTTGCTATTAGCGATCTGCGAGTTTAGTGCAAAAACGCGTGACCGCACTGGCAAGCCTGATGCGTACCGGCCTTCATTTCATTAATACTTTCACTTATGCTACATATTTTAGCGAGTTTTTTGGATTTTTGACGTTTATTGCGTTGCTGTACAGCCTTTATTGCAACAATGCCGGATAGTCAGACTTGCTCCTAAGGTCAACAAGTCAAAACGGAATACAGTATATACTCGGCCCTGTGAAGCTGTAAGCGTTTGTACCCTGTCCTTCTTTGACCTTTTCTTCCCCCACTTCCACTGTGCGGTGTCAAGGCTTTATTCATTTCAGTTTTTTATCCGTTTTTGTTGTGCAGGGATATGTCGCTGCTACAGACAGCAACAAAATGCAGTCGGAGCACAAACACGCACACACACGCACTCACACACCCATACACACACATACACACAAACAAACAAACACAGGTCGGCAATATGGGTTTTGTGCAATTGTTGCAGCACGAAACACATATTGTCGAAATGCGTACAGCGTGTGTGTGTGTGCGTGTTTGTGTGAACTTTGTGACCACTCTCAAGAAAACTGAAAGCTGGAAGGCTGAAATTTTATGAGTTTTTTCTTACCACACATCATCCTTACAACCCGAAATCATAGCCGACGCGCGTCTGGATCTTACATACAGACGTCGAGGAAAAATACGCAGATTCTGTGGCAAGTAAACGATTTCGAGAAATAAACAAGCTGGAACGCTGAAATTTCACGCTGACGTTACTTGCACGAGCTAAAGATTTCATATTCAGCAAACATCGCCCTCAGCGCAAAATTATGAACCGGATCCCTAAAATTCAAATTTCCAAGCATTTCTAATTTTTTTTTTTGTTTTGATGTATATATATGTATATGTATAATGCAGCGGAACTTACATTATGCAGTATCATTTGAAAAGCTGCATTAAACCAATTATTTCTGCTGCCTATTTTCACCACTGTTGAAACGTGGTATACTGAGGTGCCGCTATGCGTGTATGCTTGTTTGCTGCTCGTGTTTACGTTTATCCATCGCGATCCTCCCTCATTCTGCAGCGTGTTTATTCCCAGCCTGTGCTTGGATCTGGAGCCTCATTAATCCTGTTTTTGCAGCTAATAAAAGCAAGTGATAGCAGCCAGTACTATATTTTCTTCACTATGGACGCCATCAAATTCATTCTGTGGTACGTTGGCTGTGCGTTGTGCATTCTCATTTTCCATGTCGACAGCTAATTGTTTTTGCAATCTTTTTAAGGTTCTGTGATGTAGGCCATAGAATGGTTTCTATCAGCTGTTTTAAACAAATTAGCAGTAGTCAAGAATGAGTTTTGGGACAAAAGAAGACGGGAGCAGTAAAGATTGGGCCGTTTAAATAAGTGTAAGTAATAAGTGAGTGTGTTACATAAGAAATTTATAAATATAATATAGTGAAGAAGCGGAGGAAATAATTGAAAAGAAGTATTTTAGTCCACTGAGTCGTACACATTCTTATTCAACACCATGACTGAACTACACTAGAACGACGACTTATAAATTATTAAAAATAAAGGAAAGATGTGGCGAAAGGAAAAAAAATGGAGAATAAATGTTTACGCCTGCTGCGTTTATTGCATCAGGTCCTAATTTTGATTTGGCTTAATAAATCAAAAGCAGTGAAGCGCA